ATAATTAATAATAATTAAAAATCCCAAAAATTTTCCAAACACTTGGGAATCCCTCCTTAGGTCATTCCTGACCTTTGGAGGTGTTTTCAAGAAGTTGGGAACTTATTTGGAGCAAAACCATAAAAAGCCTATAATTAAACAATTTCAAAAATTCATTAAAATGCTCAAAACTTCAATAATTCATACTAAATCAAGAAAAAATCCATATTGACCAAACTCACTTGCATTCAACTCATTATAATGCCTAATGTTATTAAAAATATTAAACCCCCAAAATCAGGTCAAAGTCAAAAAGTCAACATTTTGGTCAACTCTAAGTCAAAATCGGGTTAAAATTTCTAAAAATCATAACTTTTGATAGAAAACTCCAAATTGAGTGTGCCACCTGTCTAACAACTCATAATTAGGTCTAGTATTTATTAAAAATCAGAAACCCTTAAGATTAACTATATTTTTAAAAGTCAATTTTTGACCCCTAGTTAACACATCCGGAAATCTCTTAAAACCCATTAACCCTTCAAATTCCAGAATTTTCTTCATAGGATAATAAAATTCTCAACCAACCCATTAAAATCAGTAACCAACTCCTTAATCAAGCCACTCTTTAATTCCAAACCAACTTAAATAACTAATCAACCCCGATTGCTACTGGGTAACCAGGCCTACGAGGGCTATTAGCTTAGCCCCAAGAGGTGAAAATAAACTTCACGCCATCGGTGTTGAAACAAGTAGCAATCCAATGTAACTTTTAAAATATGGTTTAATAAATTCTTAATCTACTTATCTAAATCTTTAACCTTAACTCCCTCTAAACCTAACAAACCAACGTTTTAGTACAAACTCAATCAATATACCCACTTTACGGACTATCCCACCACACAACTTCTACACACACTTAGATGATGGCTCTAGGAAACAACTCTAGATCTAGGTTAGGCCGGTGTTTACTTTACTGCGTGTGCCGGATTTTTCGTAGTTTTCACTGCATGTTGTGATGAAATTGCTTTGCTGGTCTGCTTACTTTTTCTGTCACTCTGTGGATGGATTTGATGTGTTTGGCGACTAGATTACCCTTAGGTAGGTACGATCCGTGTTGACACAATTTTCTGCGGTTGCCACGCTCATGCAGGGCAATCTAAAAAGGGCAAATCAAAAAAAGCATAAACTATTTGTATAACATCTTTGCACAGTGGCTTCAGCTGCAAAGCCCCCAACATAAAAGACGCTGGCAGTGTGTTTACTTATTTGTCTCAATACAACTCTGGGAAACTGTTTATATATTAATGCTTAGGATAACCTTAGAGTGAGTCTAGATTTTTTCAAATGAACATGTAATTTGTGTAAGTGTCAATGTTGTGAAAGTTATTTGAGTTGGATAATAGATCCAAAGCTGGACTTCCAAGAAGAGAAAAGGATCCCCTTTGGGAACACTCTTTCTCATTTGGAGAAATCCAAATTTGGACAACTTTCCCTTACCCAAAGAGGAAAGAGTGGCCTCTCCCTTAAAGGAAGTGCCCTCTTATCCATTGGTATACCATACAAAATCCGGAAGATTGAAAAAGGAGTCCAAAAGAAGAACAAGATTGAAGATTGAAATTGAAGATGAGAGTATCCCACTCAAAATACTTGCGTCATGATTAGGAAATCCCGTTGTTGTCAGTTGTGCCCGCCACTTTACTTTCTGCAAAAATCTTTGTAATAAGCTAGCAACTTTGCCTAGACTTATTAATTAACTTTAATATATTTGATGTGATTCATTGATTTGCGCTTAGGATACTTGTTTACTAGTTTGCGATGTATGCCGCTTTTGTTTTCGAACCTGGATTACGCGAGACTCGTGAGGGTGTGAAAGTTTTATACTCATAACTTTAAAAGTCTAAAATTTTAGTGAGTCTAAATAACATAGAAAGATAACGAATCTAGGGAATTAGCCGGGGATCGACCCCAGGGTCGCATGCATATTTCTGCATTACTCTCTCCTTGTTTTAGACCCTTCCCCGCCTACGGGTAGAGTCCGGATAGTCTGACCTATGAGGACGAAGTGCTGGACCTGGGGAAGCCCAGTCTTCTAAAAAAATTATTTTCTAAGCCTGTTTTTAAAATTTCAAGCATATTTGATTTGAGGTTGTTAACTAGCATGCATTGCATTAGAAACAAATTAAAAGAATCAAAATTTTAATTTCATAGTCCTTAGCATTTTGCACCCAACATAAGTCAAAGGGGCCAATTAGGAGAATCTCTAGATGTCGGCCCGAACTTTCCAAAATCTTAAATATAACGTCCCTACCACTCTTTCATAAAAGACCGGACTCATCTCTTTTAAATCGATTAGGTGGTTAGCTGGTTCCCCAATCCAGGCCGGGGTAAGTCCAGACCTTGCACTGCATTAGTTAGGTTCGGACGACTGTGGTCCAGCGTCCAAAAATAGATTTAGGATCTGGGGCAGATCTTTGATTATAAGACCCCAAATTTCGGGAATATAATCCCAAATTTCTAATAAAATACTCAACTTTAATTAAATATCATTTCAATCCAAAACATAAAGCCCAACACATAGATTAAGTTGGGACACTTCCGGATGGTTCCTGAATCTCAAAGTGTCCCCTACCTCTCCGCCTTTAACTCCGTCAATAATTGTTCAATTTTGACCCATTCCCTGTTGAATTTCCAAAATTCCTCTCTTTTTGATATCACTCCTAGGAAATCTGACAAAAATTTGCCACTATTTTAATCGAGAGTTTTCGTAGGGGGCTTTATCTCCCTACGATATAATTAACTACGAGGGCTTGCGCTCGTAGGAGATTTAGAGCCACACACACCTGATTTTAAAATTGATTTTTAAAAGTTCAATTAGATTTCTTTGGGAAAACTTAAAATACTAGTGATCGTTATTATCACGATAAAAGAATTATCATCGAATGGTATTTTCTCCCTTTAGGGAGATACACTTTTCTTTGATAAGGCTTTGGATGTGAAATCAACGATCACACTTCTTGAATATTGTGGCTGGATATTTAGTAGAATCTCATTTTGACCCTTCGGGGCCAAATGAAGTTCTCTTTAGCATCCGATCACGATATTCAAGATGAATTTCATAATTCTAAATCTGAATACCGTTATGAAATTTTATTTTCACCTTTCGAGGTGATATACTTTTCTAACGAGACAATTCGATTTTAGAATTCAATTTTAAGTCGCAAAGAAAACTAATATTTTTAAAATATGTTTTCAAAATTCCACCAACACAGGTAGAAAACAATTTTGTCCTTCACTCACGTCTCCTTCAACGCCTTTAGTTGGTTTGTCGTCATGCCCGTCATATCTGTCGTTTCAATGAAGTCGTTCTCAACGACTTCCCATACATCTTGTGCGCCCAGCAATGCCCTCATCTAAATATTCCAGTTGTCATAGTTTATCTTTGTGAGTCCTGGTAGCGATATATGCTCCATTGACAAACTTCCAAGACTTGTCATCACTTTGATACCAATTTGTGGAATAACACAAATAAACTGGGAACACTAATACTCTACTTTTCTCTTGATTAAGAGAAGATTTCAACAATCACTTCACTTTAAAATATTTCCAGACTTTAATATAGCTCACCATTCCTATGGTTACATCCTTTCAAAATGATATTACAACCACACAAAATAAAAAAATTTAAAGGTGAGATAGAACGAGAATTCAAGATGACAAATTTGGGCTTTATGAAGTATTTTCTTGGATTAGAAGTTAGACAAGGAAAGTCAGAAATTTTGTGTCACAAGAATCATACTCAAAAGACATCCTAAAGCAGAACAAGATGAAAAATAGTAATTCACTAACAACACCGATGGAACTAGGTGCTAAAATCTCAAGATTTGATGATGGAGATCGCGTCAACGCAACAAAATATTAACGTTTGGTGGGAAGTCTGCATTATCTCACATGCACAAGGCCAGACATATCCTACAGTGTTGGAGACTTGGAGTGGTAAGTCGGTTTATGAAAGAGCCGGTTTACACACATTGGAAAGCGCTAAAGAGAATTTTGTGATATATCCAACAGACAGAATCACTTAGGTTATTTTATTCGAAGACAGAGAAATATAGATTGATGGGTTACTCCAACAGTGATTGGTGCGGAGACATAGATGATCGAAAGAGTACATCGGGGTATGTGTTTTTATGGAAGAAACAACATTTACATGGCTATCAAAGAAACAACCGATCGTGACACTTTCGACATGTGAAACGAAATACGTGGCAGCATCATTATGTGTGTGTCACGCAGTTTGGCTAAGGAATTTACTCCATGAATTGAATCTCCAACAAACAGAGGCTACCGAGATTCATATTGATAACGAATTTGTATCAAGTTAGCAAAGAATCCGGTACATCATGAAAGAAGCAAACATATCAATGTCAAGTTTCACTACATCCGAGAACACGTGAAAGAAGGAAGCATAAGAATGAGTCAGGTTGCGAGTCATGATCAATTAACAGATATATTTACAAAGTCGTTGCCCAAAATATTGTTCAAAAAATGCAAATGGAAATCGGCATGAAGAATGGAAGGGACTTTGAGTTTAAGGGAGGAATTTGTTGATAAACTCAAATCATCCATATAATATGGGTAACAAACTTGAGACTTGAATAACTATCAAGTGGAAGTTAATGGTGGATATGTAGATAACTATCAAGAGGAATTTAATATTTCATTTTTATTAAACGTTTTTTTTTTTGTTATTGTGTGGTTGTAATCTCATTTTAAAATGATGCATCCCTATGAATGATGGATTATATTAAAGCCTAGAAATATTTTAAAGTGAAGTGGTTGTTGAAATCTTCTCTCAATCAACAGAAAATTGGAGTAGGCGGATATGCCTAGAAATGTTTTATAGTGTTCCTAGTTTATTTGCGTTCTTCCACAGTTCTATCCTCGTTCTCAAAGGAGGTCTACCATGGGGAATTACATGCTCGGTTCCACGAACTAAAGGTGTTGTAGGCGGAGACACTTACAGATAGGTTATCAGAGATAGTCTGGCGGTTAAGAGAGGCTTCAACGTTGGTCGTGAACTTGTACAGTATAACAGCGATTACCCCAGCCGTAATCCCTCCCAGCAACGCCTGAACAGGGGAAGGTGGACTCTGAGCTTCAACGGGACCAACTCCGATTGCTTTCAAGCTATCCAAAGCTTCTTCCTTTATACCCTTCACCTTCGTCGTTCCCGTAGAACGCACTCTCTACAACAGGTTTCCAATATAACACTATAAGTGTTCGACAAAATTACGCACTGGCACAGAGACACCAAAAGAGATGAACGAAGCTAGTACCAGCTCCTTTGCCCGCTTGGCTCTTCTACGAATGGAGCGGAAGAGGAAGATAGTTATGGCGCCGGTGAGAAGAACACTAGTGGCAATCTGCAAGGGGGTCGGATTGTCATCGATTGCAAAGAGGGAAGACGAGGAAGAGGAAATAAGTTCGACGGGTCCTTCGGTTTCTCCGATTGGTGATTCTGGAGATGGTGGCTCGGGAAGCTCCGCGAGCCATGGCCGGGAAACGGCCGCCAGTGCCGACGGTCGGAGGGAGATGAAGATGCGGGAGGCATGGAAAGGAAAGAGAGGCGAGTGACGATGTCGCAGAGAGGAAGAGAGCGGAGATAAGTGCAGAGTGATTTGATGGGTACAAAGCATCGCCAGAGCTTGCAATCACAGTCGGGAGGGAAGACTAGATTTGTTAAGGGATAAAGGATGGAGGATTCTCTTATGATTTGTGGATATATGTGTTTTTTTTTTTAATCTATGTGTGAAATATTTTTTGAAAAAAAAAAAAACTTTTGTAAGAAAGTCAGACAGAAATTTAAAATTATATATATATAACTCAATTTGCATTTAGATATTCTATTTTTTTCTTGGAATAATGGATTTCCTCATAATTGTGTGCCACTAAATTTATTTGATAAAAATTTTAAAAATTATTATTATTACATTAAAATTATATTGATATTTATATTTCAACACTAAATATTTAAAATATAAGAGTAAATAAATAAACTCCTCTCATCTAAGACAAATCAAATAAATCAAGATAAAAATATGTTAAACTAATGTTATTTGTGTGCTACTATATGTGAACTCAGCATCTGGATAATCTAGTTGTGAAAATTAGGAGTTAATCACCTCAGAGATGTGGAAGTCCACTCTACAAGAGCACCCACTACTCATACCATGAGCAACAAATGCTCACATATTCCAATTCAATAGTATTGGCTACACTTAGCTAACAACTCAACCTAAAAGATTATTTGATAAAGGCACTGGGAATCGTTGGCTATATTATAGGGCCACATTGGATATGGTTGTCCACATGTCAACAACTTAGCCTACGAGGTTATTCAATAAGGCCTCTCTCAAAAATCTCATTGGCTATATCCCAGGGCCTGTCACCCCCAGGTCACCCCCCAGGATCCATAGTGAAATAATTTATTTTATACTTTTTTTCTTTTTCGTGCTATTATCTTTTCAATTTCATTCTATTCATTTATCAACTAGATCGATAAACATTTAAAATTGATTAATTGTATTATAGAAAAACAATAAACAACGAAAAATATAATTCACATTTCTATAGTCCAGAATTACATCATATCGACAGAGTCCAAAATAATATATAAAGCTACTTTGGCTACAAAAGAATACAAAAACCAAAAAATTAAAATGAAAACTACACTAGCACCACTGCATACATAACTTCGAGCTCTAAGTTCCTTATCTTAAATCATTTAAACCACGTAATGAGTGACTAGGCCAATAAGTAGTCAATATCTTACAACTGAAATAAATACAATATCCTTCAAAAAAATAAATAAATGTAATATAAAGAGAAACAATACATTGTAAATCATATCAAGATATCTATGCATCAATATCTATAATGATTATCTCTACCAATTACTTAGTTTATAACACATCACATCTTGATCTATTACATCATTAATCATAGTGTCAGTAATAGTGATCATATCAATAATAGTAATCAATAACATTAAGCGATGTCTATATTCTGTATGAGTATCCATATCTGTGTTAGTAATAATAGTTTGTAACAATACCAATAATCAGTAGAAGTGTTATTACGGTGTCAGTACATAGTCAATTTAGTGTCAATATCAATATCAGTGTTAGTGATCATATCAATAATCGTTAGTAACAGTGATCAATGTCAGTAATATGTATTATTATCAGTAAACAATATTGTATTTGATATTCAATTTAGGGTATTGTAAGGGTATCTTGCTCATGCACTTATGACTCCCAATTGTTGCTCTAATTATTGTATTATCATAGGATTATCATATCATATATTTGATATCAATCAATACATCCATTTTCTATCAAATCAACATCAATATTAGTACAGTACATCCTTTCCTTTCTCAGTCAAATTACTATTATATTCTAGTATCAATCAATAAATTTAGCATCTTATAGTTCAGTACATCTCATCAATCACATTTCATTCCTTTCACTTCCATTTCAGTACATATTTTTCCCACATCTTTCACATAGAAATTCTTACACCTAAAATTAACCAATGAAAATGCAAGAAAATCATATCAAATTATTCATAATGATCAAACCTATAAAATATCAAAAGTTATGTGGTGAAAGCTCACAAAATCAAGAGATAATGTATTTTTTGCATCTTTAGTAGAGATAAATCCATAGAAATTATAACTATAAAAAACAAAAGTAAGAGGATAGTTACTTACTATGATTAGAACACAATTCATAAAAGGAATGGCAAACAAAAATGCCCCAATAAACTTTCTCTCTCCTCTCTTTCTCCTATTTGTTGCCCTTCTCCTTCGATTCCTTCCCGGCCAAGGCATGCAAGTGAGGGGTGAGGGAGGCGGTGGGATGGAAAAAATACTAAAAAAATATTGTTAATGGCCTAGCATCGTGGTGCTCAATCCCAACGCCACAACATCACATGAAAAATTTAGATTTAATATAGAACAAAGATACTAGTGCCGTAGTGGCAGTTTCTAGCACTACAGTGCTCTTAACCCTTGCACCACAATGCTCACATGTATAATGCCAAGGTGCTCCAGTTCAATCAGTAAAGAAAAAATTCATATGTTTCATTTAAAATGCTTGTTGTATCCTTAGGTTGTTGCAAGGGACACTTTGGATATGGTTATCAACGTGTCACTATTAGAGTCATGTCTATGTATATGTATCAGTTAAATTATGTATTTTTTACTTTATTTTTTAAGTGTAGCATGTGGTCATTCACACATTATAAATTTAATGTATAAACACATTTTGAGGTCTTCATACCATTTTTACTTTAAAGAATGTTTTTAGATTATCACCAATAAACAATTTTAGTTCCAATATCATAAAAGGTGTGGTGAGTGTGGACTTAATTCCATTGATCATAAAATAAGTACTTCATGAAGTAAAAAATTAAGACGATGAGACATCGGTGGACATGAAAAAATCAAAACTTTACAACCTGGTGTGATTTAATGGAGATGAAGGAGAGAATCATAAGGATAATCGAAGAGTGTTGAAGAAAGTCACTAGGAAGTACCTAAGGGCAAACATATCAAACGGATCCTTAGATTCAATCATTAAGAAGGCATAATCTATTGATAAGGAACATATAATAATGCATGGAATTGATGAGACCTTCTACCCAAACACCAAAGAATAATCCTCCCCTGCATAGTGGGTGAAGGAAAGAGGAATTCATTAAAAAAAAAAAAATTGGTTGCTCATTTAGAACTCAAGGAACACACCTATTTTGCTAGCAAAACTCAAGGAACTCACCGCCTTATACTTATTCCCTCCGAATATTAAACTCACCAAGTGAGAATTCAACTTAGTCAAAGATGTTGAAGATAACATTCAATAACTCAATGGAATTTGACTTTAAAGTTAGGTAACTCGCTCCTGTCTAAGAAATCTTCTTCCTATTCTTTTGCATGTCACCACCACAAATCATCATGACCTTCAAATATCATCACAAAACATAAATTGTCAAGAACCTAGACATAAAACCTAGTGGCCAACTCTAAAGTTTTGAGCCCACTAGCCCTAAACTAAGTTGGCACATCAACAATCTTGGTCAATATTAGAAAAAATTATTTCGTAAGTGAAATCTCGCTTAAAAAAAAAAGGGGATAAACTAACTTAAGAATAGGATCAGGGCAATCTCATCTTAGAATTAATATTAAAAGTAGCAAGATTACTTCATGCAACTAAGTTGAGGCCCCTATATAGGTAACATCTAAGTGAGCTGAGGTATTAAGGTAGATAAAAAATACTACACTCAACAAAGTTGTTATTACACACACATATATAGATGCATATATATATACATACATCTATATGTGTGTGTGTATGTGTGCGTGTGTGTGTGTGTGATACTTTCATAATTGAAGTTAAGTATAAAGTATTCAATAAGATAAAAAAATCATATATGCAAGTGTCATTTAGATGATTATACTCCTATGCATAGCCAATACCAATCTCAATTCAAGATAACTTAGAAAGCCACTCTCTTTCCCTTCAGAACTTCTCTACATTCTTCAACTTGACATTCTAGTCCTTAAGTGACAAAACCTAAACATTAAGATCTTTGCATCATTATTCAGAATTGATAATTGAGTCCCTCGAAACTCATATCCTAATGGATAATCTTTCTAATCAAGAGTGGCAAGTGGAACTAGATTTGACCCTAACCTATTATCTCTCACCTTTTAGAAGCTCATTGACTTCAAAAGAACAAGGAACTAGGGGCGTGGCTTTGATAATTGAAAGAATAAGAAAAGTTATAAGTAATATAATAAAAAAACTTAAAGGTTAAGCAACTTACACGGAGGACTAAGTAGAAGTGGGATGGTCACACAAATAGGTGTGTCACGTATATAACTCTAGCAATCTAGCCCCTCCTTTGGCAAGCTCCTGTCAAAGTCAAACTCCTTTAGAGAAAAAATCAAGGGTCAACACAAGGTATTAGCATGGATTGAGGATTAATATAGCCTTGGTACATCTTATAGTCGTCGACTTCACGAAAACAAAATCTTCTCATCCAGACACTCGTCGCCCTCATTTCATGAATCATTAAATTATAGGAGGAGAAGAGTATGCAATTGCACTAGACCTTCCTTGCCTTGAATTGGTTGTAAAAAAGGCAAATGCTCCACTATAGTTATCTCCTATAAAATGGCCAAAAGGGTGGCTAGAAGATGAAGGTACTCAACACAATTAGGGCATGTACTAACCGATAGCAACCAAACATGGTCACCTCCTCAACAAAAATGAGAAGTCGTAGTCCACAATAAAATTGGTCAAGATAAACATAAAATTCATCCCCCTTCAACAAATTGGGGGACTCACCCTTCAAAGGAACTCAAACCATGAAATCATCACTAATGCCAAAGTTTATTCGTAGTCATACTATGTTGTGTCCTATAATTAACAAAGGGCAGTGAAAATCAAAACTTAGAATGTTTCAATACAAAAAGTGAAATCGCTAGACATGTCGCTCAAGGTGGAAGTAAGACTTATTAATTAAGGACAAATATCCAAGTTAAGAAGTAGAATAATTATGAGGAAAGTGACCCTATATTAAAATTTATAACATGGATATGGGAACACAAAACGTCATACAACAAAGAGCCCAAATCAGTCTTGAATGTTTAAATTTTTTTATAAATTTGACCTGACACCACCATCAATGCACTTAAATACA